ATAACTGTGATAGGGTGGTTTCAGAATTTGAAAATTTAGATGTTCAGTTTTTTTTTTTTTTTTTTTTTTTTCTTGTAGCCCAGGCTAACTTCCGACTTGCTATGAGATTGACTTTGAACTTTTGATCTCTCAGCTTCCTAAGTACAGGGATTGCAGACATGAGTTATATGCCCATGCTATGCTCTGTTGAGAGTGGAACCCAGGATGGAACCCAGGACTTCAGCACAGCTGCGTTCTAGCAGCTGCCTTCCACTCCCCCATTTTGAGAGCGGTTTTCTGTCTGTATAGCCCAGAATGACTATGAACTTTTAACAGTTCTTTCTGCCTTTCCAGCTGCTTGATGCTAGCGTTACAGGTGTGAGTCTGTACTTGATGCTGGGATTACAGGTGTGAGCCTGTACTTGATGGTAGCATTACAGGTGTGAGCCTGTACTTGGTGCTAGCATTACAGGTGTGAGCCTGTACTTGATGGTAGCATTACAGGTGTGAGCCTGTACTTGATGCTAGCATTACAGGTGTGAGCCTGTACTTTTTTTCCCTCCTATGTCATCTCTTAATTAGAAGTCTCGGTGAATTGGCTTAGCTTTTCTGAGGGTGACAGTTCAGTTGCAATTGTGGTAAGAACTCTGAATCACATCCTGGAATTCGTGGGAGGGTTGTGTATTCTCTGTGTCCCTGTCAACAAGGGAAGCTTTTCTCAAAGCAGTAAGTCAGTCCTTACTACTCAACCTCTAAGGAAAATTGCAAAGTCCAGTTACTTGGTCCCACTCCATGCGGAGGAGGGAGGACTCGTAAACAGTGTGAAGTGGTGTAGAACCACGGTCCTTTAGAACAGTGGTCTTCAACCTGCGGGTCATGAACCCTATAGGGTCACATAGCAGATCTTATAATTCATAACAGTAGCAAGATTGCTTTATAACAACAGAATGCTTCTGTGGTTGGAGTCACCACAGCATGAGGAACTAACTATATTAAAGGGCACCAGCCGTTGAGAACCATAGCTTTAGAAGGAAGGGAGAAGGGTAGCTGTAAATTATTAGTAGATAAAAAAAAATTTGCCTGCCTCTCCATGAATTTCAAGCATCTGATATTGTTAAGGGGTGTGTGTCCCCAGCCAGCTTCAGCCGGCTGACATAGATCGTTTCAGAATTTGTTATAACTACAGATTTCCTTCTCATCGTAGTGTTTCTGAAACATCTTCTAGTTAATAGTGTTTCCTAAGCACCATCAGTGAGGAACAAGTACTAAAAAGTCAGGTGGAGAGCTGCAATTTGGAGAATCAGCATGTGTTTTTGGGACCCAGTTCCATGAGGAGCCACAAGGTGGGAGTGCTGCTTCACAGATGGAGCTAGGGTCTGGTAAAATAATGTATTCTAGCTGGGCACTGTGGCTCAAGGTCGTCGTCATCTTAGTACTTGGGAAATGAAGCAAGGGGATGACCTCAGTTTGGGGTCAGACTGAGCTGCTGTTAGCTTTAGGCCAAACTGCACTATGGAATAAAACTGTGAGCGTCTCAAAACAAACTCAAAACCAGAATACTTGTATATTCCTGTCTTTGGAGCAAAAAACGTTGCATGTGTATGTGTTCTTTATGAAAAGGGCGGTAGTGACACACACTCTTAATCCTAGCACTAAGGAGGCAGAGGCAAGAAGATCTCTGAGTTTGAGGCCAGCCTGGTCTACATAGCAAGTTCTAGGACAGCCAGGGCTACACAGGGAAACTGTCTCGAAAACCAAAAACAGCCAGGTAATGGTGGTGCATACCTTTAATCCCAGCACTCAGGAGGCAGAGGCAGGTGGATCTCTGTGAGTTCAAGGCCAGCCTGGTCTACAAGAGCTAGTTCCAGTATAGGCTCCAAAGCTACAGAGAAACCCTGTTTCAAAAAAATAAAAACAAAACAAAACTGGGAAGTACACTTGAACGCATTGGCACGGGGAACCACTTCCTAAATAGAACCCCAGCAGCACAGACACTGAGAGAAACAATAAATGGAACCTTCTGAAACTGAAAAGCTTCTGTAAAACAAAGGACACAGTCAATAAGATAAAACAACAGCCTACAGAATGGGAAAAGACCCTCACTAACTCCACATCAGACAGAGGTCTGATCTCCAAAATATACAAAGAACTCAAGAAATTGGACACCAAAAGAACACATAATCCAATTTAAAAAAATGGGAGTACATACCTAAACAGAGAACTCTCAACAGAGGAATCTAAAATGGCTGAAAGACACTTAAAGAAATGTTCAATATCCTTAGTCATCAGAGAAATGCAAATCAAAACTACGCTGAGATTCCATCTTACACCTGTAAGAATGGCCAAGAGCAAAAACACTGATGACAACTTATTCTGGAGAGGTTGTGGGAAAAGGGAACACTTCTGCATTGCTGGTGGGAATGCAAGCTGGTACAGCCCCTTTGGATGTCAGTGTGGCGATTTCTCAAAAAATTAGGAAACAACCTTCCTCAAGACCCAGTAATACCACTTTTAGGTATACATCCAAAGGATGTTCAATCGTGCCACAAGGACATGTACTCAACTATGTACAAGCCTCTGGAGACACTACTGACTGAAACACAGCACTTAGAGCTTACTTTAACAATTTTCTTCTCTTAATGAGCATGGCATAAATACAAAATTTCTTGATCTATTTTAATTTTTACAGTTATGCTTGTTGGAGTGTATTATGTGTGAAGTACCAATGGCTCCCATGTGGCAGTTAGAAAAATCAACCTAGGGGGTCTGCTTGAAGGAGTTGGTTCTCTCCATCTACAGACCCTCATTATTCTTATGTCTATGGACAGACTTTTTGGTTTTTTGAGACAGGGTTTCTCTGTGACTTTGTAGGTCAGGCTAGGCTTGAACTCACAAAGATCTGACTTCTTCTGCCTCCCTAGTGCTGGGATTAAAGGCATTCGCCACCACCATCCAGCTTGTGTATGTGTGTGTGTGTTCTTTCAAAGAGAATTTTAATTTTGGGGGTTAGTGAGATGACCCAGCGGGTAAGGACATTTGCTGCCAAGTCTGATGACCTGAGTTTGATTCTCAGAATTCACATGCACATGTACGCACACAAATACAAATACACACACAAAAAAGTGCAAGCCACACACTTCAGAAAGAAGGCTTGGAGGAATGGAGCTGGTTGACATGGAAGCCTGTTCCCTGAAGACTAGCTCTACCCACCAGAAGGAGCTGCCTGGGGAGAGAAATAGTGGATAGCCCTGCCCAGCTGTAAGACCTACAAACCACAGCAGTGAGCAGGTGCAGTAGTGGCACTTAATATCTTGGGGGTAACCAACAGCTGTCTGATTGGCCTTAAGGCCTTCTTACTAGGGGGAATTCATGCTTGGGCCCTAGAGGCCTACTCCCACTTCCCTAACTGCATTCTCCATGCTTATCCTTGTACCCGAAGATTAATGTAGCTTTTCTACCTTTACTCATCAAAGAGATGGGTGGAACTCTTAACTAGCCTTACTTATCAAAGAAACTTTTTCCTGCAGCAGAGACCAGTATAGAAAGCCATGACTGGTCAAGGTGCAGAGGGCAGACTTGGGGAACGGTCCTAATTGTTAATGTGTGTAACACAAACTGAAGGCTCAGGGTATGCTACAGAAGGGACAAAATGTTTTTTGGGTTTGTGTGTGTGTGTGTGTGTTTTGTTTTTCCTAGACAGAATTTTTCTGTGTTGTCTTGGCTGTCCTAGAACTCGATTATTAGACCAGGCTGACTTCTGACTCAGAGATCTGCCTGCCTTTTCTGCCTGAGTGCTTGGATTAAAGGCCTGCACTACCACTGCTTGGTGGTACACAAAGTGTATTCCATATATAACAGGGAAACCATAAACAATGGAATAGTATTCAGCTTTAAAAACAAATGAAATCACATCATTTGTAGGATAGATTGAACTGGAGAGTTTTGTTTTATTAAAATTGTTTTATTAAAGTAGGCACAAAAAGAAAAAAATAACACATTTTCTCACTTATATGTGGAAGTTAAAAAGTTGATCTTGAAGTGAACAATAAAATAGTGACTACCAGCCAGGCAGTAGTGGCGCACACCTTAAATCCCAACACTCGGGAGGCAGAGGCAGGCGGATCTCTGTGAGTTTGAGACCAGCCTGATCTACAAGAGCTAGTTCCAGGACAGGTTCCAAAGCCACAGAGAAAATAAATAAATAAATAAATAAATAAATAAATAAATAAATAAATAAATAAAATGGTGGCTACCAGAAATTGTGAGAAGGCTGAGTGGGTGGGTGGGTGAGGAAAATGAAGTGAGGATAGTTAATAGGCGTAAAGAAACAGTTGAACAGCGGGAATAACTTAGTGCTCCAAAGTTCAGTAGGATAACTGGCCAACTATGATTAGTATATAATTTATAATAGCTAGTAGAAAGGATTTATATGTTCCCCACATAGGTTAATGATAAATCGTTAAGATGGCAGATATGTCAACTATCCTGATCGTTACATATTATAAACAGGCATTAACGTGACACACCCTGTGTGTAATTACTGTGTGTGAATGAAAAATATATAATTGAGTATCTAAAGTCAAAATTGATTTTACACACACATGAGAGACACAAATAGATCTGAAACCATCTATTGCTAGAATTCTTGGAATTTTTATGCATTTCTATTATGTATGTCTGTATTTGTGAATTTTTTGGCTGGAAACTATTAATCCTTATAATAAACCAGACCGAAAAAGTGCCTATTTTGGGGTTTTGTTGTTTTGTCTTTACAACTTGCTAAGGAAACGTTTAATGTGGAAATGTTTTCTTACCTTCAGGGTACACAGTTTCAATTGAAAAGTAAAAGTGAAAACCGCAGAGCATTGAAGCGTGTGGCTACTGTGTGTGTGTGTTTGGTGTGTGGGACTGCGGCTGCATAGAATCATCAGTAGGGGCTCAGCTCAGTCCTCGCCAGCTTTCCTTTTCCTTTCACGAACTGTAGATTCTTATCAGACATGTTCTCTTCTTCCTGCCTCCAGGAATGAGTAGCGACAGCGACATTGAATGTGACACTGAGAATGAGGAGCAGGAAGAGCACACCAGCATGGGGTCCTTCAACGATCCGTTCCTGGCTCCTCCCCCAGACGAAGGTGCAGCATGTTATCATTTTACACAGGTTCCTAAGAGCATCGCTGCTGCTGCTTTCTCTGCCTCTGCTGCTGCTTCCGCTCACTCTGCTCTGCTGCTTTTCCTTCTTTTTAAAAACTTACTGTCATTTGTGAGAGAACGTTCTGTGGTAAAGGATATGGTAAGTACTGAGGAAGTTGTCAGGTTGTTTGGCCAGTTAGCCGCCTGAGTGCCACTTCCTTCGTGGAAAAGCCTGCACCCTGGTGTTGTGTAGCTGTGGCCAAGGATACTTCAAAACAAAGACTTTTCAGCAGGGACAGTGGGTGGGCTATAGCACCTTAAATAGTTAATCTGCATCCTGTGATAGGAAGTGTTTCCCATCCTCTGCACAAGTTTTGTGTGTATGGGATTTTTAGTTTTTGTTTTATATTTTCCCCCTCTCTTCAGAACTTTTTCTGTTTTCTAGCATACTATAACTTTTAAAACCCTTTTATTTCTTATGCATGCATACAAATTTTAATCCTTCCTATTCCCTCTAGAAAAGAATTCTTAGTAAAAAAAACTGAACAAGAGAAATCTGTATTTTTTCCTTTAAAAAAATTATTTGTGTTGGGCGATGGTGGCACACGCCTTTAATCCCAGCAATCAGAAAGCAGGGACAGGTGGATCTGTGAGTTCAAGGCCATTCTGATCTACAGACTAGTTCTAGGACATCCCGGGCTATACAGAAAAACTCTGTCTTGAAACCCTACACCCCGCCTCCAAATTATTTGTGCCAGGAGTGGTAGTGCATGATTCTAATCCCAGCAGGGATTTAGAGGTAGGCAGTCTCTTGAGTTCAAGACCAACTCGATCTGCAGAGCAAGTTCCAAGACAACCAGGGCTATACAGAGAAACCTGATCTTTTTAAAAAGCTTTTGTGCATGTCAGCGAGTATATGGAAATCAGAAGACTACTTTTGGGGAATCAGTTTTCTCCTTCCACTTTGTTTTGTGGCAGTCTTCCTTGACTCTGCCATTACACTCTGGACTCCAGACTAGATGGCCTCGTGAATCTGGGTGACTCTTGTTTCCGCCCCCATCTTACCACAGAATGCTGGGATTACAGATGTGTCTCATCAAATCCATTTCTAAGGATTTAGCTAAGGTTGTCAGGATTTAACTAAGGTTGTCAGGCAAACAGCAAGAGTTTATACCCACTGAGCCATTTTCCTGGCTCTTTCTATTTTAGGACAGCTTAATTTTCTGTGTTTTGATGGGATTTCTGCTGCACAGATGTAACAGATACAGTATAAAAGGAAAGTACACTGTGAGGTACCAGGCTTATGCTGGGGTTGCTTACTCCTAGTTGTGGTTCCCTTCTCAGTACAGTGACAATTATTTGGTGCTTTGCACTACTATGGCATCTTCAGTAATTCTCTCTGTTCTACAGAAGTGTCCAGGTTTGAGGCAGCTCAGAATGCTGGTGGCACTGTTCTGTGATTGCTATGTAGGCAGTTTATTGTGTGTGGACTCAGCTGGAGAATGCCACCATCTTTGTTCCTTGGGCAGTGTCCCAGAGGATGCGGTGGAATTGTGGCTTTCCTCTTCTAATTGTGGGTGTCCTTACATTCTCTGAAGACAGGCTTGTTCCGCACCTTACACATCTTTATCAGTAAAACTTTTGGTAAGGTCATGTAAAGACTGAGCAAAGAAAACATGCCTTCTGACATTTGCTTTTTTTTTCCCCCATTCAATTCTTTTCTTAGATTCACATTCCAGTTTTCCTGATGGTGAACAAATCGACCCTGAAAATCTCCACTTCAGTACTGATGAAGGCGGTGGCAGGTAATTGCCAGACATGAGAACCGAGTTACAAGCTACCTGGGCCCTGAAATTTGTTGGAAGTTGGTGCTCAAAATTGTCAGCAGTCAGATAATCAGGTTTAGTTTCATTTGTGGTCATCTGTACCTGAAAGAGTAACTTTGAAACTGTTAGAAGGAGCACAATTCTAGTACAAAACAGTATTGGCACATGGGAGATCAAGCAGGGGAAGGGTTCCTTCTAATGTAGTGAACTAACAGTGTAGTGCTCAATTTAGCATTAGCCATTAACAAAGGCAGCTTGTCTCCAGTACTGAGAGCCAACTAAGTGCCAGAAAGTACCCAGAGGCAGTGCATGACTCTGTGATTCATTCAGCTCCCGTGCTCTTCTGTCTTAGGCTCGACACATGATTTAGATGGCCATATTTAAGTTTTCATTAGTTTGTAGTTTCATGAGGGCTTGTATAAGAGTGGACAGAAAAGTTGCTTATGAACAGTAGACACTTCCCCTGAGTAACTATAGCAACACTGGACTGACCCTTCTCTTTGAAATACGATGATAACCCAAATTTTATTTATTTTTCTCACTTGTTCAAGTGCTGGCATATTGGTTAATGGTACATCTTCATTCAGTTGTGCAGCCTTTACAGGTTTCACTTACGTGAGTTAAGTCATTGGTGGAAGGTTCTGTGAACACATGTAAGGTCACTTGAAATTTTTTCATCTTTTCTGCTTCCTGAAACACTACTGTAGTGCAACTGATATTTTTAAACAATTTCCATTGGTTGGACATTGATTTCAGTGAGTGCATTTAAAGATTTATTCATATTGCAATCTTGATCAACATGAAACCGTGTGTAAGACTTTCTCTCATTCCTAATTACCCCAAATGATTGCCAAACTTGCCACTGTGCTTCCAAGTTGTTTGAGCTATTATGTTTGTGAAAGTTACACTTACAGTTGGCCAAGAGATTGTTGAGAAGCATGGCTTGTATGTATGCGAGAGCGCTCTCTCCTGTTTTAGTGATTCTCGTCCACTCCCCATGGCTGATGGCTTGCTGAATGCTGTGATTCATAGTTTACTTTTTTCTAAACAGCTTGCACTTTTTGTTAATAAAATTAACTTGAGAGAATATGCCTCTGCAATTTATTGACAGTGGGACCAGAAGGCCATGTTTTATTTTATTGCAGTGGCATTTTGTTAAGGGCTGGGCTTCTAGTCTAGACTTCTTTTAAAAACCAGAAGATTTCTTCATAAGTGACAGAAGTAGAATCTATGGAAAGAATATTCTTTTTGTGTGTGTGTTTTGCAACAGTGTATCTCTGTGTAGCCATGGCTGTCCTAGAACTCACTCTATAGACTAGGCTGGCCTTGAACTCACAGAGATCCACCTGCTTCTGCTTCCAGAGTGTTGGGATTAAAGGAGTGCACCACCAGCAGAAAGGATCTTACCCTGATCCCTAGCATCCTACATACTAAAGTATCCTCCTGGGTGGTGCTTTGCTTTTGGTATTTGATATTGCTGGGAAAGGAGCCCAAAGGTTTGGCATCTAGACAAGCACATTACCCTTGAACTGTAGTGTCAGGCATACCCAGTGTTTTGCAGGTGCCAGGAGAAACTGTGCCCCTGGGCTGTGCTCAGGCGTGAGAGCAGAAGGCCTTGCGCTGATGCCCTGTCCTTTTGCACCTCTAGCTCCCCGATAATCAACCTTCCCTACCGCTCTTTTTAAAAAGTTTCTCTTTTTTGTTGGATGTAAATTTTATTAGTTTTTCTGTTGTACCTTTTTCATTAAGGTGTATTTGTTTTGTGTTCATGTGTATGCTCATGTATTCGCAGGTGCACATATATGCTGAGGTCAGAGGCTAACCTCAGGTGTCATTCCTCAGGAGCCACCCAGCTTCATTTTATTTGAAACCTTCCTCAAATACTTAGGTTTTTTTGTTGAGGATTCTTAAGTTTTCATTTATGTGTATGTGATTTGGGTGTCTGGCTAGGCCAGAAGGGGGCTTAAGACTTTGTTCCTGGAGTCACAGCCACTTGTGAGCTGCCTGGCACCGGTGCAGGTGTGGTGCTGGCCATGTCACTAATTTCACCCTTTTTTTTTTTTTTAATTATTGAGAAACTCTTACTATGTAGCTCTGGGTAGCCTAGAACTCACTATGTAGACCAGGCTGCCTCTGCCTCTGCATCCCAGGTGCTGGGATTAAAGGTGTGTATGTGATTCTATTGTTTCAGAATAATTTTGACAACTTGGTTCATTGAGTCCTTGTCATCTTTGAGATAGACAAGTTGTTTGTTGCCTCCACGTGGGAAATTCAGGGAGATTATGCAATGCTCTAAATTTGGACACAATACCTTTTTCAGTTTATTTTGCTTAAGCAAACACAAATAAAAAGCTGAAAGATTGTCCTATTTTGTTGTTGTTATTGTTTTTATTTTGAGATAATTTTAGATTTCTAAGAGTTAGGAAGATTGTGAGAATTCCTGTCTAACCTTGACCCGGCTATTCCTTTTGTTAGTGCCATATGTAACCATAGCAACGATCATGTAATGAATCTTGTTTGTAGTACCTTTTTATTTTTTAAGACAGATCTAGGCTTGTCATAGATGACATGGATGACACTTTCTGATGCTTTTAGTCCTCCAGTCTCAGGGATACTTGGATTACAGGACTGTGCCACCATGCCTAATCAGTGCTGGGGTTTGAACCTGGGGCTTTGTATATGCTGACAACTGAGCTGCATCCTTGCTGTACGTTCATCTTACTCTTGTAATGTGTTTGGTCTGAGGTAGTCTCATTGTGTCACTTTGTCTGATGTGGAACTGTGTGTAGACTAGGCTAACCTCAAATTCATAGAGGTCTACTGCTCTGCCTACCAAATTTTGTCCCCATACCTGGCTCTAATATGTCCTATTATTACATTCTTGGGGGGGGGGGGAGTTTCGAGACAGGGTTTCTCTGTTTAAGGGACCTCTCTCTCTCTCTCTCTCTCTTCTCTCTC